ATCTTTAGTAAACAAAGTCACGTGACACGCGCCATTTTAGTTTTGATTAGTTCATCGGATCGGAGTGGTCGGGCAGGCGATTTCAAGGCAGCACGCTTAACCCTTTCGTTCACAGGTTGGGAGATATTAGAATGACTGACAATTTCACGCCACTGTTTTACATTATTGGCGGATTTTTCTGCGCTATCAATCTTTCTCTTACAAACTAGACATAGATGAGACGACAGAGTCGCTCCTTTCACAACGTCGCACTGGATCAAATTGGAAAGACGATTTCCATAAGTTATCCCTCCTGCTTTTCCTGGCTTGAATAAATTCACACACGACTTTAACTGTCCACAAACTCGAAGACTACACGAACACAGTCTACAATAGTCGTCCGCAACAATATGTATGTATTTCTTCGGTGTACTGATGCACGAATGCACCGTGACACGGTGTTTCTCGGGTGTCGCCATCGCTGAGAATGCCGCCGGCGCAATTTTTCACCCAACTCGCGATTCTGTTTTGCAACATTTTATCAATATTCCCTTTGACAAAATCGCCGACAAAAGCACCGCTTTGCTGATCTTTTGTTCTATAATTCTTAATGCAAACACCGACCCTAGTATTAATTAGTAACGTCGCCTAGTACATATGAACGGTCGCCATTGCAATCGAACATCCTTTTGAAATTTGGACGTCGGGCAGGCGATTTCAAGGCACCGCACTTAAATATTAGCAACATATTTTTCTGAGCGGTTGTTTATTCTCTTTCAAACGAGACATAAATGTGACGACATAGTCGATCCCTTGTCCACCGCTAAGAATGCCGCAATGTTTCGTTCGTTTTGCAACATGCCACAAATCGTCGAAAAAAACACCACTTCGACGGAAGCTTGCGTAATAAGGGGGTTAAAACAAGAAAACAAATGCCATGTTTAATACATATCGACCTGTTTTACTTGCGAAAGATAACGGAACATGAACTCGTTTCGTGCGACTTCGGAACCCGAAGGAACACACCAACAACGTTGAATTTACCCGCTATCTTCCAAATATGGTATATTAATTTATTCAGTTGTTTATTTAGAGTGACGTCCGCGGTCGAATGCGATTGGCTATCGATGTCAGTGCAAAGGTCATATGAATATTAAAATTAAGTGGGCGGAAGGAAAATTGTATAGGAGACAAGCTGGAGTCTCGTGTGGCGATAGCGATAACACCGGGACGAATGGTCTGGGGTAGTTGATTGCAAATTTACAAGTCCGATAATAAATCCTACTTTTTTTTTATACTAGTCTACTATTCATTCTCAATTATTTGGAACAATTTACCTGGTCATATGACGAGTGATTTGCATATCCAATTAGATTGTATATATTATGATATTCAATTTGTCATCCAGCTGTTTGACCATATTATTTTATCTTAGGCATGAATAACATTTCCCCTAATTGCAACAGGGACTGTGTCATTAACAATGACTTGCTTATTTTACTTTCCATAATGCAACTCTCACTTTGAAATAACGATGATTAAAATCGATAAGGTTTAAACCAAATACTGCAAGCACACAAAAATAACAAAAAAAGCAGAATTATTCAATTTATTATTCAAACTGAACATACATACCAGTATTTTAAAAACACTATGTACAATATTATCATTTTTTAAATTTCAAATTTACATCATAGCAGTTAAAATACAAATGGACACCATGGAAACTGTATTATTAAAATAATACAAATTGCAGATATTTAACCATTGAATTCAAGATTTAAGACTCGCGTTGGTGGAATCTCTAATTCGTTGTTCACCTTAGAGTTGATGTACTGATGCAATAGCATACGTAATTCAGCATTCTGTTGGCGTAAAGCATCTGTCTCTGATATCAATTTAGATCTGTTATTTAACACCTCACTGTTGAAATAAAAATATGTGAAAAAATTATGAAAAGATAAATTTGTTAGTAGATGAAGTATGACTTTTGTTGAAGTTGTAATTTGCCTACTACTGTAAAATCAGTATTAGAATGGTACAATACAACAGAGGGGATGCAGTTTCTATTAGAGCCCTTACACATATAAGAAATGGTGAATTTTTGGTTCTCAATTGTTTAAAAAGAATGGGTGCGACTTCTATTAGGGATGTGGCTTCTAATAGAGATTTATCCGTAATATATTACATATACTTGCATATTATACCAGAAGAATGTTATCTAGTACAGTCTTCATGTAGAATGTAGCTTTTATTCTATGAACACCTTCATTTTTACCACTAAAGTATTGTGGCAACATTGTGTACATTTTTATCTAATTTTGGACCAAAAAGATATAATTTCTCGTTGGCTACAATTCTTGATAATTTTTTGAAAAAAAACATATTTGAAAAAAAAAATCAAGAATTATTTTGTGAAAGATAAAAATAGTTTTCTTTGGTGGTCAATGGCTATTCCATAATAAACCACAATAAACTAGTTAAGTCTGCTAGGAAATGATAAAATACAGAATTTGCACAAGTTCATTATGATGTACTGACATAAAGAAATCTTGGGTCGCCATAATAGTTTTTAAGAAAATGTTGGTTATAAATATAGTATTGGTGGCCATTAGTAGGTTTTGGTACTTTTTTTATAAACAGTTGTTATGCTGCAGACATCTTTCCATATCTGATGTGGAGAAATAGGATGAACAATTCATATACCATGACTGATTGACATGTAGTTTCTGTTTTAAATTCTTTTTAAAATCCGGGTTTTAAAAACAAGTTAAATTAATCATTTAAAAGTGATTTACATAATAAATTGTTAATCAAGCAAATATGGGGACTAAAATAAAAACTACTTTGGCTGCAATACATAAACTGAGTTACAGGGGTTACAGTTTATTCAGACATTACACATCACACATTTATATACAGACTATATTTTAGTAATAAAAATTTAATTCTCCCAATCTCTCAAAAATATCTCATGTGGGATTCTATCACTTTACTTACCTGTATTTATCAAATCCTGTCAGCAAAGCTGACCACACTTTTTCATCTTTGGAGGTTAAAACAGATGCATATTTTTTCCAGTAAGCTTCATCCTCACTAAAAAAACATAAGTGAATAAGTTATCTTACATGATATATCATATTTAGTTTTACTTTTTACTGTTGTTAACTCTTGAAATCATATGAAATGAAATCATATGTTTATCATGGAAGATCTTATGTCAATAAGGATTACAATTACATACCGATTGACTTCAGATTAAGGGGTTACAGCTAATTTCAATTATTATATACAAGTATTACTGAAGTTAAAATTCACACTACAGACTGAGTCTTCAGTTGTTTACCAGTATTAAAAAATTAGCAATGGTGAAAAATCAACGATATTCAAAAATACATTTATTTTCGATTGGACTACTAGTATATACGGTTTATCAAGGAGAGGTTTGTTGTGAATCCTTAAGGAATGCTGTGAACTGCTTTACTTTCGTGCGAGTCTGTTAATGTTGTGAAATTTTGTAGCAGTGAAAATTATTCTAGAGTCCTATGAGTTTACACTACCCATTTTACAGTATATCTGTATTAGTGATCGCACTCAAGGCTGTTTACACTACACCCAATCTACACATGTTCAAATTTTGTTGAACACACATGTTTCATCAACATTTGGCCAGTGGTAAACAAGCCTCCCATTGTTGAAGTATACGTGCATACGCCACTTTTTGACCAATCGGGGACATTTTTTAAAGCGAAAAACAACAAATTTTTAGCCAAAAAGCACACCTTATATAAATTTTTTGAGTTTAGTTTTCACCTGGCTGGGCACCCCACATTTTGGAATATTTATTAATTCATAAAGACTCAAAGCATATAACTGACATTAATCATTTAACTCACCTATCATCTCTCTCAACACCAGATATGATCTTAAAAGTCTGGTATTTTCCTTTGTCCCTGGGGAGAAAAAAGGTTTTTAAACAAAAGATACAGAATTTTCACAAAGATTGGGAAGCCAGTTTTTAAGCAAGATGAATATCAAATTGGTTTATTAATTTAAAAGCATGGTGTGAATAAAGCACATGTATTACAGGTAAAGACTAAAATATTATGGATGAACCACATATCTGTTGAATTCTTGTAGACTGACAGGAGATATTCATGTATGTATTTTAACATAGTAGCTAAATGACATGATACATGTAAATCAGCTCCTAATCAGGTTTGTATAGAGGTGTATATCAGACTTTATATCCACAGTGCATATATCATTCATAGTTGTGATGTCAATGGTGAAATAATACTGCTCAGATAGTCATCAGTTGATACTTTGAGAAAGTTACATGAAGGAAATTGTGAATTGATATGATATGATACCGAGTAACAGCAAATATTCATGATAATAACAACTGAAAGTTATTTTGAACATATGTAGCTAAGAGTATGAAAGAAACAAGTCTGACAATCATCAACAATTTTTGCCAGCCACAACTGAAAACATGTGTCTTGATTGGTTGTCATGTTGAATTAGCATAAATTAAAATATGGTTTAAAAGTGTGAATTTTTTCTGTCTTTTTGGAAATTAATTGTGGCAATCAGAGCTGGTCATGTGATATCACTTATTTGTAAAGCTTTGGTAATACTAGCCAATGATATCACTTAATCAACCAGCTCTACAAACAAGAAATATCAAGTGATGATCTCATACAAAAATTGTACATGACACCAATACCATGTAAGTGATATGACTAACAACAATTATACATACTTGGAAGGATAATGATGATCCTGAACAAAATCTGTAAGTGCCTTCAACACATCATTGGGGTGAATCAAACTGTCTGCTATGGATTTCAAACTGGATGCTACAGATGCTACTTCCTCTTCTTCACCAGTAACCTTGGCAACCTCTGCATCAGCCTCCCGCTCATCAATATCCCCCTATAATTACCAGATAAATTGTAACAGATGTTAAAGAGACAATCTTGCTATAAGCCTTAAATCTCATGGAAGATTGAGTTAACAGATCACAATTAATGAGAAATAGAAGACAATAGATAGTATAAACAATAGTATCCCATGAATCCATGGTGCAAAACGAGGAATTGACAGGATAATCTCCTATAAACATTATATAGTAGACTGTATTTGCTCTATGAGAAGCTCATCTTTAATAGAAGCGCAGAAACAAAAATTGCATTTACTGTGTAGTCGATCACTAAAACATGAGCATGAGCAACTTACTTTGACCTTAAAGATACACCTATTGTATACCTAAGCACATGTGCTACTAATAGAGTATATATGGTATACAGTACATAATAATATTTGTAATAAATTCAGAAAGACATTCATGTTGAACATAAATATCATGGTGTAGCAGACTGACATTTGGAAAAACCTTAGTCTGTTATCACATCCACAACCAAAATGTTGTGACATGCTTTCCAAAAAGTCAAATTTGTGAGACCTTCAAATTAACAAATCTATCAAATTTCACAGCATGCAACCTATTAATACTATTTTAATAAAAAAGTATACCTCAACTTCCTTTGTTGGTGGTTTCTGGTCTAGTCCTTCTGTAACAGTACCAGTTGTTTTGACCAGTGTTCCCTCACCTCTTGATTCAGGCTTTAATGTACCTTCCTGGCAATAGAAGAAAATCAAGATCAGCTATTTTACTTTTCAATTTTCACCTTCTAACTATATACCGAAGTGATGTAATATCAACATTGCTAGTAAATGTACAGCAATTGCTTTGAAATTTAAGTTGTTTTGTTACAATGAAGATTGTTTAGATACATTCGCCACACACCCAGACTTCAAGTTGCTGACGTCGGACTGGCTGACAGCGTAATGTAATTCCAACACAGACTTTGATTGGACAGACACATATAATATTTGTCTTGTATTAGCCATGACAGAATATTTGTATAAAGTTGTGTATTATCGAATACAAGAATTATACTTATGAACAGAATGTTTTGGTGCAAGGCATATCAGTGATGTTGCTCTAGATAGCAGTTTTAAAAAGTAATGATAATAATTAGTCACGTTTTAGCAATTTTGAATCTGCTGTGTATTCAAATAAAATGATATGCATGACGGTCCCACAATATTCTATGTACATGTATGTGCTAAGTCTGAATGAACATAAAATGATATGCATGACGGTCCCACAATATTCTATGTACATGTATGTGCTAAGTCTGAATGAACTTCATGAAAATATGTATGCTTAGCTAAAAATTATTGATTTATGTTATTTTCAACAACTAAAATGACCACCAGGCGGCCATCTGGAATCATAGTTTTGAAATCAACATCCATAAAATCAATAGATTTGCACTGACCTGGAGTGCTAGTTCATCCTCAACTTCACCTGCCTTATCAGCTGATTTGGTTTGCACTTGTTTGAATTGTAAGAAATAGGTAGCTAGCTTATGGATATCTTCTTCTGTTTCAATTCCTAGAGCCTAGTGATGAAATAAAAGAAAAAAGATATCATTATACATGTACTTCCATAACTGCAAATAAAAAAAATCAGCTATCTGATAAAAGATATACAGATAGCTTTATAAATCTTTCAGATATATTTGAATGTGACAGAACATTTCAACTGTGAATCATGATGAAAATAACCATGTGTAAAATGTGACAGAACATTTCAACTGTGAATCATGATGAAAATAACCATGTGTAAAATGTGACAGAACATTTCAACTGTGAATCATGATGAAAATAACCATGTGTAAAATGTGACAGAACATTTCAACTGTGAATCATGATGAAAATAACCATGTGTAAAATGTGACAGAACATTTCAACTGTGAATCATGATGAAAATAACCATGTGTAAAATGTGACAGAACATTTCAACTGTGAATCATGATGAAAATAACCATGTGTAAAATG